TCCTGAAACTATAGCGTTATCATTAGTGTTATTTTGTGTGTCCGGTCCATTCTTTCCACAACACAAGGTCGACCGAAAACTCCCCGATGAACCCTGCTAATCTGCTCATATCATTATCCCCCTTTTATCCGATTTTTGCCAAAGCAGTCATCCGTAAAGTGTCAAAATTATTTATTCTCACACATTTTTCCAAGGCCACCGCAATTAACAGCGCAGGCAGCAAAGTGGTTCACTATAGCAAGGGCAACGTTCTGTACGGGGCTTACGAGTGTGTGTGTTCGGGCGGTGGGGGGGGGTGTATTTTGACAAACCGTGCTGTTAAAGATATAATAGGGACATAATCACCGCCGCGGGCCCCTATTCTTCAGGATAATGTGCTGCTTATTCATCGGGGGCTGGCTTATGTCTCCACGCGCTTCCTCTTTCACACATACATGGGGCTATTTTACGTCCCATTTGTTTCTTATATTCGGCCATAGATCTTGTTTGTGTTGTTTATACTGACCTCATGTTTAATTTTACATCCATTTGAAAAAACTTTGAGCAGTGTTCCTGGCATTTTTTTTTTTTTTTTGTATGTATGTAGGAGTCCCTGGTTCTTTACAGTGATACTTTGCAGTCACATCACACTGGGGGTGTTGTACATGTGTCTGTATCACCGAAATGTTCAGCGGTTACCATGGTGATGCAATGCACACGTTAATAAACACAGACAACAAAGTGTTTAAAGACAGATCTGAAAACGCAATGAAATGGATTTAAACAGTGCATTTTCCGGAGCCTGACATCAATAAGAGTCAAGTTCTGTTGAAATAAAGATCAGATTAAGTCTAACTTGAGTAACAGAGCCAGAGACAGAGTAGTGCTTTCAGTTAGCTTCACCCTCCCAGGAAGTGGTGGTGACATCAGCTGCAGAGTATCAGTACTGTGCTGTAGTGTGTTGTCCTTGTCCACCAACCATTTGTGATTTCAAACTGATTTTATGTTATACCTTGACCTTCATTTGGCATTCCTCAAGGGTGTGACCTTTACCCTCTACTCTTCACAGAACTAAGACATGACTGAACTAGAAACTAGAAACTGAGTCTCACAGTAAATCTCTGAGATGATGATTTAGTTGTGTGTAGAGGTGTATTTACAGCAGTGAAAGTGTAATGTTCCATGTGCTGCATCTATCTAGTCATAGATCTTATTTGATGTTATTAGGTTCTTTTTACAGACCAAGAGTTTTTTTCATACCTGACAGTTTTGACTGCTCGCTAACACTCTTCCTGCAGGTGGCGCTGTTATCCTACCTCCACTGGTAGGAAGACAGCGCCAAAACCTGAATAAATCATCTGACTGGACATGTCACAGTAACAGGAAGAGCGCTAGTGAGTAGTCGAAACTGTTAGGTATGAAAACAAACTCTTGGTTTGTAAAAAAGAACCTAATAACATCAAATATTGGAAGACCAAATGAACCTCATTGGACTATAGATCTTGTTTGTATATACAGTACATATATATTGCATCCATTATATTGTCGTTTCTTACAGAAACTTTGTCATCAGTTAAATTTTTCAATTATTTTATATCTTGACCTGTTCCTAAGTAATACACTCCACTCACATTTCAAACACCAGCAATATTATTAATAAATTACTGTTTTACTTTGTCTCCATTTGATTTTAGCTCTCCATTTTTATTTTTATTATAACCTTTAGGAGCTTTATGTTTTTGTTTTTATGTTTATGTTTAAATTGTTGTATATATGGATGAAACACTGGGGTGGGGTGGGGGGTTGCTGTTGTTTTTAATTATTGTATTGTAATTTTTCTGTTGCATGTGAAGCACTTTGTGCTACATTTCAAATATATGAAAAGTGCTATACAAATAAAGTTTGATTGATTGATTGATTAATAAAGAACACTTAATTCTTCATATGGAATTTGAAATACATTGTTGTTTGCTTTTATATGGCAGACACATGATAATGTTCAGTTGGCATTCCTCAAGGGTGTGACCTTTACCCTCTACTCTTCATAGGACATGGCAGTAGAATAAATTAGAAACTGAGTCTCACAGTTCATTTCTGAGATGAAGACTTAGCTGTGTGTCGAGGTGTACTGACAGCAGAAGTGAAATGTCCCATGTGTTGCTTGTTTGTGTACACTGACCTTATGTTTCATTTTACATCCATTTTATTGCCGTTTCTTAGAGAAAACTTTGAGCAGTGTTCCCAGTAGTTTTTGTAGTAGGATCTGTTTCCAAAGTAATGAAGAAGTTTCTGGTTCTAAAATTAAAGTTGTAGGCCTATTGTGGCTATTGGTTCAATTTTTCAATTATTTGATATCTTGACCTGTCCCTAAGTAATACACTCTACTTACATTTTAAACACCAGTGATATTATTAATAAAAGAACTCTTTATCCTTCATAAAGGAATGTTCAGAAAGGATGTTCAGTTGGGACCCCTCAAGGGTGTGACCTTTACCCTCTACTCTTCATAGAACTGAGACTTGACTGTAGAATAAGATAAAAACTGAGTCTCACAGTAAATTTCTGAGATGATGACTCAGCTGTGTGTAGGGGTGAAAGGTCACATGTGTTGCTTCTATTTAGCCATAGATCTTGTATTATTTATACTGACTTTACATTTAATTTAACATCCTCTAGATATCTGGATGTTGTGGGACGTCAGAACTAATTAAGCTCGTCATTGCAACTAGGTTTCAGAATTTTTAATTAATTAATTAATTTACTTATTTGTGTGGCAATGATGAGTCCATCCACCCATTTTCTTCTGCTTATCCGGGGCTGGGTCACGGGGGCAGCAGTCTAAGCAGGGACTCCTTCAATAATAGTATGACAGAAGCTGGTCCTCGCCATTTAAATCAGAGGTCTACAAAAACATTCCCAATGTAATCAATAATTATGTATATCTCATAAATATAATGACATAACAGACAGAGACCGTTGTTTCTTATAAAGCTCTTTCAAGCAGTGTTTTATTGGTGGTTATATTACAGCAACACTATTTCAAGTCTACACTTTTGGGGGGACAACAATGACCTCCTCACTACTACGCAAAGTATCACTGCATGGACACAAGGAGGGACGAGATGGAGAATGGGGCAAAGGAAATTCAACTCTGAGGTTTGGTTTTCAATAATAATATTTCTCAAAAGTGTATTGTTTGTTTTCAGATTGTAGATTGCGCTGATCACAAATGGGGTAGAAGCCAGGATATCTCGTATTTTAATAGGAATTTAGAAAGATTTTATATGAATTTTTAAAGGCCCTATATTTCCCAAAATGGACTGTTGAGCTGTAAGTCGTGTTAGGATGTTGTTACATCGTAAAAAACAGACCTGGAGTTGTGTTTTGTTTCATTCACACTCCTGCATTATTAGTCTGTCTACATCTCCAAAGCTCAAAATGCTCAGCTCCACCTTGTGATGTCATCAAGCGGTAGTTTTCAAGTTAACAGTTACCTTTAATTTAATTTTTTTTTTCAGTAGAGATTTGGAATTCCAGGGATGAAAATATCCAAATGATTCTAGTGAAAGTGTATGGAGTTTAAAAACACAGTGGAGCAATGACTGTTTTACCACATGACATCAGTTTGAGAGAAGAACTCATCTTAAATCTGCAGGGTTTGTGTAAATGAAACAAAACAACTCCAGGTCTGTTTGCGATGAGGAAACAATTTTAAATACAAAATTCTTCAAACTAGATCAGAGCCAAGGTCCATAACCCCCTGTAATCGTCCAACCACATCGCAAAATCTGCAAATTAACAACCATTTTATCAAAGCTTAGCAATGGCCATCAAGAATTTAGTTTTAGTCAAATAAAAATAAAACATAAAACCAAAAATGTCCAGTGGATACAAGGGAAGGGTTCAAAAAGCTGCCCTGTTGATCTCAAATACAATCATACAATCTTACAGTAATAACTTTACATCGACAACTTAATAGAGTTTACAAATACCTTACCGTAAACAGGAATAGACACTTTCGTATATTACATATTAAAATAATGTGCTTTTCCCCCGTTTATGAAGACATCCTGCACAGAAAGAGACCTATGTGCTTCCTTTCGTCAAGTGCTAGCAATATTTTTATTAAACCTTTTTTTCTCAGGAGAATATGAGCCTATTCATCAACATTATAATCATTTTCATTGTGTATCTTGATCGGCTGAACATGTGGCGCGCTGAGACTTCATGGGGAGACATTAATTGGCTGTTTTTGAATTGTAAAATGCTGCATGTTCATTACTGCACGTGCCCCCTTTCCCCCAGCCCAGGGCAAAATGTAATTAAAAGCACCGCGTATGTAGTCACTGAAATCATTTTCTCATTACGGGCCCAGCCTCTGTGCAAAGTGCCATATTAGCAGCCATTAAACAGCTAAATTACTCATGTTTAATTGTGCTGACGATAACAACAGGCTGTGCTCCATTTGCTCTTTTGCACAAATGTTTGACATAGGTCTCCGTGGCTCCACCAAAGTGCACTCTCCTGTGCTTCGTTCACATGGCTCCTGTAAACATGCAGCTCTGTTCTTCATTCACATCACACGCCTCTGTGTCTCAGGTCCATGTGTCTCTGCAGGTCTCATGTCCATGTCCATGGAGGTCAATTTATGCACCTTCCATTAGAGCAGGTGCAGGGGGTGTGTCCTAAAAATGTGGATTATGACGTCAGCCACACACAAAAACAGTTCAGTGTGTTTCGGACTCTCTCTCATGTGCTTGTTTCGGTTCTGGAGTGAGAAAGTGCATCATGGAGCCTCCTCCTGTTCTGCTCCTTCAGTTTGTGCTTCATGAAGACGCAGAGGTCTGTGCTTGTGTGAAACAAATGTGAAACAAGTGTGAAACAAGTGCACATTGTGGGTGCCTGTGCCTTTAGCTTGAGCCCCGTGTGTCCATAATCTCACTCTCTCACACACACAGACACACACACACACAGACACACACACACACACAGACACACACACACACAGACAGCAGCAGGGGCTAGTTAGACAGAGTGTCCAGGCCCAGGGAGGCAGCGTGCTGTTTGGCCCTCAGCCTCAGGCTCTCAATGCTGCTGTTCTTGCTGTGACTGCTGGCCTGGAGCAGGGGGCTGCTCCACACCTGCTGGGCGTGCTGGGACAGGGACTGGTAGTAGGACTGGCAGGGCAGAGAGCCCAGGGGAGCAGGGGGCATGTTCATGCCCAGGTAGGGCAGCGAGGAGGGGGCCAGCTCAAAGGCCGGGTACGGCACCAGGTTGTTGGTCGCCGCCATGTGCTGCCTGAACTGCTCCTGCAGGCGGAACAGACTGAGGGGGGAGGACGAGTACGAGTGACCCTGGGACAGAGGCCCGCTGCTGGGCAGACTGCTGGAGGACGAGGGGGTCACTGATGGAGACACAGGAGAAGAATCTGTGGAGGAGACACAAACAGGTGAAATGTAAGGATTTGTTTTTTGGATTTGTAACATTTATAATGTTTATGTCATTATGGATGATTTGAATTATATTACCATGTTTAATGTGTAATGTAACTGTTAATCTTCTCCACATTTTTATTATTTGCATTAGTAGTTCTTATGTAGTGTAGTATGTAGTGAAGTATTAATTGAACTGAACTGTCTCTGTAACGGTATGAGCATGTGGAGTTTGCTGACCTGGTTTGGGGCTGAGAGCTTTGCAGCCTGTGGACAGTCCAGGGGACATGTCTGTGGACAGTTGTGTGGACAGTCGTGGGGACACTAGTGAGGACAGGTGGGCGGGGCTGGTGGCGCTGTCTGTCTTGATGTCCTCTGGGTGCTGTCGCTCCTCGTCTCTGTCTGTGCCGTTGTCCTCTGCAGCAGACTCACTGCCCGACTGCTCCTCTGAGGTGACGTTGAGCTCTGGGTCCAGAGGGGTGTGGTCAGTGGGACTGTCCTCCAGTGGGGACCCCGAGGAGGAGGGAGGGGGCTGGGACTCAGGCACCTCCTCTTTGTCTCCACCCTCTCCACATGCCTCCTTCTGCTTCTGCAGCTGCTCCTTCTGCAGGCTGCGCTGCTTCTTACGAAACTTGGCCCTGCGGTTTTTGAACCACACCTGAGGAGTGACGCAGACACACAGTCAGAGAAACTACAGCAGGTTCTGTTTAACTGATGAGCTGTCAGGTTTATGTAAGTCCTAGTGTTGTGTGGAGTAGTTCCTAGAGCTCCTATCACAGACCTGGACACGCGCCTCAGGCAGGTTGGTGCACATGGCCAGCCTCTCCCTCATCACCACGTCGGGGTAGTGCGTCTTCTGGAAGGTCTTCTCCAGAGCCTCCAGCTGCTGCGCGGTGAAGGCGGTCCGACTGCGGCGCTGTTTGCGGTGCTGTGATCCGTACCGGGCCTCGAGGATGATGTCTGCGAATGCACAGCCGTTTAACACACACATGCACAGTTACTTCACTCACATCACACAGGACGGCTACAGCTGTTAGAACATCAAGCCAGGCATACGTGTAATATGTGTGTACGTGTAATGTGTGTGTACATGTAATGTGTGTACGTGTAATATGTGTGTACGTGTATGTGTGTGTACGTGTAATGTGTGTGCACGTGTAATGTGTGTACGTGTATATGTGTGTGTACATGTAATGTGTGTGCACGTGTAATGTGTGTGCACGTGTAATGTGTGTGCACGTGTAATGTGTGTGCACGTGTATATGTGTGTGCACGTGTACATGTGTGTACGTGTACATGTGTGTACGTGTATATGTGTGTACGTGTAATGTGTGTGCATGTGTATATGTGTGTACGTGTACATGTGTGTACGTGTACATGTGTGTACGTGTATATGTGTGCACGTGTATAAGTGTGTACGTGTACATGTGTGTACGTGTACGTGTGTGCACGTGTAATGTGTGTGTATGTGTAATGTGTGTGTATGTGTAATGTGTGTGTACGTGTAATGTGTATACGTGTAATGTGTGTACGTGTATATGTGTGTACGTGTACATGTGTGTACGTGTTATGTGTGTACGTGTATATGTGTGTACGTGTAATGTGTGTACGTGTATATGTGTGTACGTGTATATGTGTGTACGTGTAATGTGTGTACACGTGTAATGTGTGTGTATGTGTAATGTGTGTGTATGTGTAATGTGTGTGTAAAGTGAAGCCTGTTGTGATGGTGTCGCTCTCACATTTAGTGTTGTTTACACTGGATGTCAGATCAGTGTGTATGAACGTAACAGAAGTGTGATCTATGACCTGAAGAATCACACACATACATGTGGTGGTCTAAAGGTGGAATAATGAAATAAGCTCTAAGTAACATTCAGACTTTACTGAGTCTATGCAACATAAGTGGTCGTTACATCTTCCTAATTCAAAATAACCAATATTTGTTGTGTGCCTGTCTGTCTCTTACCAGCGAGCCTCTCTGCCAGCGTGAGCGCGTGCACACTGGGCCTGTAGTCGGCGCTGTGCTGGGCTTGCGCTGCCTGCTGGTGCAGGTTGTACATGGCACTGAGGGAGTTCATGGCGTGGAGTGAGTATCCGTTGACCCCGTAGTGCTGCATGCTCTCAGGGCTCAGCTGTGGAACACACACCACACACAAATGACACTTTAGTCTTTCACTTACACATGTCAATATGCTCCAGAAAAACACAAGAGAGGACACTATTACAATTTTTCACTGTTCTCCAACTTTTACAATATTTATAACATTTACTAGATAATGCGTGATATAAAATTGCAACTGATAAAGTCAAATATTCAGTATGAAGTCATTTCCTTGTGAGCTGTTTTCATACAGAATTTACCAGTGAAAGTACATGTACTCTTGTGTTTATGTGTGTGTTATTGTGTATGCCTGTGGCTTTTGCTAAATGTTGTGACCTACAGCCCTCTCAAAAGAGCCATGACACACTCGATTTTTGTCCTTTACTTATTGAGTCGTTTATTGAGTAGTTGCACAGAGCCTAATAACTGCAGGTCAAATGTCAAAGTCATATTTTAAATGTCCACACAGGGTCTAGCTGCTTCCATTTTACGTTCCATCTGTAACATCAAATAAACTATAGAGTAGGGCTGGGTATCATTAAGAAGTTGCCGATACAATACATACCTCGATACATAGGCCACGATAAGATACATATCTCAATACAGTGCACTTTCGATTCGATATGATATATTTCAAATTGATTTGATACAGTTCAATAGAAAATAAAGGTTAAATCATAGCTGTGATACTAAAAGTGTTTGTTAAACCACTTCTTGTGCAAAGTTCATATGAAACACAAACATTTTAATCCTTAAAACAGTGTCAAAATGTCAAATGTGTTGCATAAATGAGTTTCCTTTCACTCCACAAGAAACAAAACTGTAGCACTGTAACAAAATAATTTAGTAAACCACGTAAAAATACTCTTGGTGATATATCGATACAGTAGCCCATGATATTGATAATGTATCATCACATTAAACGATACGATATATCGATATTCTGATATTTTTGTACACCCCTACTATAGAGGATCTCTGAAGATTTAGCCTTTAGGACATGGCTGTAAAATGTACTAATTAAAACTTGTCTTTACCGGAAACGCGTCTTATAACATGACAGGCCGCGCGCACGAGCCTCACGCACACACACGTCACGCACGCAGGCTGACAGCGGGACTCGTGCGCTCCGGGGCCAATAGATTTGAATGCGCCGACAAAGTGTTATCCATTAACATCCAATTAGCGCCCTGCTCAAGTCATTAATTATACACAAGCCTTTTAATTGGCCTCATTATCACGCCTACCCACAATGCACCGTGACGCCCGCCTGCCTTTTGCTCCTGCTCCGTTTGACTTCTCCCTGAACACGAGCCAAAAATTCGCCAAAAAAATAAAATTGGCGATTATTTATAGGCTAAAGTTTGGACTGGCCTCGCGGGTAAAAATGCACTTTAATATTCAGCTAGGCCTTTAACATCGTGTAACCTGCGCGATCAGAGTTATTATTGAAATGTAATGCGTTTTGAGGTAGAACTTACGGAGAGGATCATTTCGTGAACGACACGGAGTCACACACAGACGTGCCGCGGGCTAGCATCACACACACGGACCGGGCGCGCGCGAGAAATGGAGGTGGCGCGCGGACGAGGCTCGAGGCCTGATTAGAGCTGCCACGAGGCGCGCGAGACGTACTTCCGGACTGAAACAGCACGCGCGCACAGAAACAGCTTCAACTATTTATTTATTTATTTATTTATTTACTTTTTAATTTTATTTTGCTATTTTAATAAAAGTTTCTTTCTTTCTTTCTTTATTATTATTATTTATTTATTATTTATTTATTTATTTATTTATTTATTTATTTATTTTACGTTATAGGGTAGGCTACATTTTTACCTAAACTAGATGTAAGTGGCCTATTTATATTATAATACTTAGAAATTAGAACTTAGAACTAGGCTATGTGAACTAGTTCTATCCATAAAATAGACTTATCAACTATATTGGCTTATAAACTTTTAAATAGATGAATTTTGTTAAAAGGCCTTTTTTACACTACACCATTGTTGGACTACATTCATACAAATATACAACAACTCACCTTTATGTAACAGATAATACTCCCTACAACTGTACAACAGTGGATAACCCTATAGGACATAGGCATTATCCGTTAATAATCATATCACTGTCTTTTTTTTTTTTTTTTTTTTTTATAACTTATCTTTCTATTTCATTATTTCATTTGACTTGTACATTACATTTATATAATTGTCTTATTTGACACCTGTCTCTCTTTGCAACTTATTTAGAATTTATTATTACCTTTTCTATTATGTTATTATATTATGTTGTGATGCGTGAGCTACTGTGTCCAAATAATTTTGTGGACCAATAAAGATGATCTAACTGTACCTCTCTTGGTGATGATCTGATTTCTGAAATAGACAAATAAATGAGGACAGACCAAGTTCATTAATCCAGTCAAATCAAAATCCCAAATCAGTTTCAAAGTGTTTAGGCTAAAAACACGTGATTATTATTATGATGTTGACCTATTATTGTTCTTATGCTAATATTTTGTTGTTTGGGGTGTAGGCCTCATTCACTTCCTCCTTGTTTGGTCCTCTCCCCAGACACGTCCCATCGCCGCAGCTGAAAAATAGCGCAGGCGCAGTGGGAGCGGTTTCATTCTCGGGGACAGACGGTGCTTCGCTAAACATTTACTTTAGTCCCCTAAGTATTTGAGTTGAATAGGCCCCCCTCCGCGGTCTTTAGCCCCTCTGCCCCCTCTCCTACCCCCTCCTCTCCAGCCCTGTGCCGCGGCGGGCCCTTATCCTTGCGCCCGGGGCGGTGCTGTGGCGGAGATGTATGGCTGCTCCGCGGCTAAAATATGCGCGCTGCTGATCCCCATTTGGCTCCGCGTCTAATAGAAGTGCAAATAGGCTTCGACTGCGAGGGCCTCCATTTATCATCGCCGCTGACACGGACGGACGGGCGCGTGCGTGTCTGCGTGCGTGCGTGAGGCCGTGCGTAATTGTGCCGGAGCGCGCAGAGGTGGACGGGAGGAGAACGGGGCTGACTCCACGTGGCGCGCACAGATTTTAAAAGGGAGATGTCATAAATAAAGCTCTAATTGATTTTATAGCAATTTTATGGGCTCCGTTTGTGTGTAGTCATTCAATTAGAGAACAAGGAAACAATTTACAGCAGATACGCGGTGCTGCAGTCGCCACACGCACTCATGACAAACTATTACAGCGTTGGTTTTGGTTTTGTTTGGACGCATCTACAAGAATATTTCACACTTTTCCATACACGATGCAGACTCTGGTAGACACAGGAAAATATAGATGTGTGTTAATTCCACAATCATGAAACGTACATAGGCCTGTGACTGACTATTTGTTGTGTTTTTGAGTAACTGTTAGGAAATATTTGATATATTTTACCATGTTTACACGAATTGTAAACTAGGCTCATAAATGTTGGATAGGTGTGTTGTGTAGCCATGAGGACAAAGATGTTGAGATAAAAGCAGTAATAAAAAGACAATTACATTTCTATACAGAGCTGGAGATGCCCAAATAAATAAAAAAATAAAAATAAAAAAATAGAGAGAGAAAAATGCTGTTTACGAGTGAAATTTGCAAGATGCCAAAATATCCACATTGCTCATCCACTCGTTTTAATTTTGTGTGTATTATTTTGTTACTTCCCAACAGCCCATCATATTTGAATTTGGATTTATATATATATTTTTTTAAAACATGCAAACTATAAAATAGAAATTGTGTCACAAAATAACACCACAATCAAAATGCTATGACATACAAAGGCACAGAGCTGTACGTTTATAGATAATACTATTTTTAAGTGATTTTCCCCTTTTGTTTAAGATTTTAAAAGTGTATTTTTATTGTATTTATTCATTTATTTATTTTGCACAGATGAAATTTCACGACAACACTAAAAAAAAAAAAAAAAAAAAAATCACATCCTCGCATTTTTCGCTTTTCTGTTTTCGGATTTACGCACTAATTCTATTCAGCTCTGTTCTATTCTCTTTGATAATAGGCCTAAGGTTTTAAAAACGAATTCCAAACAAACCTAATTTAAATATTTTCACGCTACATTTTTTTTTTTACAATCTGAAATATATTTAAACACGCGTGTCATCCCCTGTCTCCCCTTTCTCCTCCAGAGTGTTTGGTTAATATGCGCCCCTCCTTCGCGCAGCCTCCAGCGATGGCTCTGGTTAAACAGCTCCGCCCGGGGCACGACACATCACGGGCCAATATTATGTCAATTACTGAACCATGTTAAGGGCAAAATATATGATCAGACAGGGCAGAAAAAGGAAAGGAAATACTGACAAATTTAGCCTGTGGGGCAGATTATAATCGTTAACAATTATAGACCTTTAATAGCCAGATTGAAATGGCCCTCGTGCACGGTGTTATGTTCTAATAAAACAGATAACAGTGCGTAAAACTGACGTCAAAATGTGTTTAGAAGCCCAACAAAATCAGTCACGATGTTATATTTACGAGTAATGAATTATTGGTAATGGCGAATCCAACGTTTTCATTCTTTTTATTTAAAACTAACGCTTAAAATTCACAGGTAAACAGTCTGATACTCTGCTAAAATAGTTTATAAATGTAAAAATATATTAGCAAATTAATTAAGGATTTAGAAGCTTTTATGAAACGGTTTGGGTACTTTTACGCACAAACTAACTGTGCGTAAAAGTGCATTTGAATCGATATATTTACACATTAATCACGATTATTTTTTTTTATTTATTTTATTATAATTTTTTTTGTAGGTCTGAATTGACGTAATAATACACGTAATTTGATATACTCTTCTGCTTATTTTATATTTTATCGTACGTGTTTTAACAAAAATACGTGGATGATACGCAAATTCAAACGGCCATACCAATTAGACTAGAACTATTTCTATCCAAAACTCAACTCAGAACAACAACTAGATGATATGAATAATAAAAATAATAATAATATTTTGTCAGAATGTTACAGAAAACCTCAGATATTATGATTAATT